GAGCTTCATAAGGAGCCATACTGACACTCGAATGATAGTTATTGTAGTACACAAACTCGACCAAAGGCAAATAGGCCTTCCAATTTCCTTAGAAATCCAACACACACATTCCTATCATATCTTCCAAAGTCTGAATAGTTTGTTCTGATTGGCCATCTGTCTATGGATGATATGCACTACTAAGTCTCAGTTCAGTTCCCAAGGCTTTTTGCAAACTTTGCCATAATCTTAATGTGAATTTCGAATCTCTGTCAAATATAATAAATACTGGCACTCCGTGCAATCTCATCAATTTAAATATTAGCCAATTTATCCGCATTATAAAATGTTCTAATAGGTAAAAAGTGGGCAGACTTAGTCAAACGATCAACAATAACTCAAATAAAGTCCATACCTCTAGGAGAACGAGGTAGACTGGCAATGAAGTCCATTATAATGTGCTCCCATTTCCATTCTGGTATTGGAAGCGGCTGAAGCAATCTATCGAGTTGTTGATGTTCGGCTTTCACTTGTTGGCAATGCAAACATTTGGCTACAAAATCAACAATGTTTTTCTTCATTCCAGGCCACCAGAAATTTTGTTTTAAATCTTTGTACATTTTCGTATTTCCTGGATGCATAGCAAATTTAGAATTGTGTACCTCAATCATGACATGTTTTCTTAGTTCTGAACAATCCGGTACACAAAGCCTATCCTGAAATTTCAATACATTGCCCTCAAACACAAATCCTGGTCTCAATTTTGATTCAATCTCATCAACAATCTTTTTCAGAAATCCATCTTCTAGTTGTTTTTCTTTAACTTCTTCAATAATAGCTGACTATGCAGAAATAACAGCTAAAACTCCACCATGTTCACATAAAACAATCTTAATTTCATTTCTTTCCAGATCACACAATAATTCCTTTTGACCGGTGAGCAAACATGCCAAATTCCCAATTTCCTTTCTACTCAAAGCATCTGCAACTGTATTAGCTTTCCTTGGATGATACAGAATTTGTAAGACAAAATCTTTAATCAATTCAAGCCATCTTCTTTGTCTCATATTCAATTATTTCTGAGTTAAAAAGTATTTCAGGCTTTTATGATCAGTATACACTTCACAAGTCGTTCCATATAGATAATGGCGCCAAATCTTCAAAGTAAAAATCACAGCTGCAAGTTCAAGATCATGGGTTGGATAGTTCTTTTCATATGGTCGAAGTTGTCAAGAAGCATAGTCAATTACCTTACCGTTTTGCATTAGCACACACCCCAATCCTTTATATGAAACATCACTATAGATTTTGAATCCAGTTGTACCATTAGGCAGAGTTAGAATTAGTGCAGTCATTAATTTGGTTTTCAATTCTTGGAAGGCAGACTCTCTTCGGTCATTCCAATCAAATGGCGCATTTTTCTGTGTTAACTGAGTCAATGGCATAGCAAGTTTGGAGAAATCCTTCACAAATCTTCTGTAGTAACTGGCAAGTCCCAGAAAGCTTCTAACTTCTATCACAATAGCCAATCTTGGCCAATTCACAATAGCTTTTATTTTATTTGGATCAACTGATATGCCATCTTTGTTGATTACATATCCCAGAAAAGTCACATTATCAGGCCAGAAGTCACATTTGGAAAAATTTGCATATAGTTTCTTTTCTCTCAAAGTCTGTAACACATTTCTCTAATGGTTTTCGTGTTCTTCCTTGCTTTTAGAGTAAATAAGAATATCATCAATAAACACAAGAACAAATTCATCAAGAAATTATTTGAAAACCCTATTTATTAGGTCTATAAAGGTGGCTGGTGTATTTGTCACCCCAAACGGCATTACTAAAAACTCATAGTGCTCGTATCTAGTTCGGAAAGTTGTTTTCTCAATATCTTCTGCTTTGACCTTTAACTGGTGATAGTCAGATCTAAGGTTTATCTTAGAGAACACTTGTGCCCCCTAAAGTTGGTCAAACAAATCATCTATTTGGGGTAGTGGATATTAGTTTTTAATGGTCACTTTGTTCAGCTCACGGTAGTCTATACATAGTCTCAAAGTTCCATCTTTCTTTTTAACAAACAAAACTAGAGCACCCCAAGGCGAAGTGCTCAGTCGGATAAACTTCTTGTCTAATAGTTCTTGAAGTTGGATTTTCAATTCTTTCAATTCAGTTGTAGACATTCTGTATGGGATTTTAGAAATTGGTTGTGTTCCAAGTATAATTCAATAGTGAATTCAATTTCCATATCAATCAGATCTTTGGGTAGTTCATTAGGAAAACATCAGGGAATTCATTGACTATCAGTACTATCGGGAGCTACAGTCAAAACACAACACAAGTAACCCCTACGCCCCTTTTTCAATAATTTATTGGCCTTCATAGAAGAAATCAAGTACAAGAGCGGAACAACATCATTTCCAGCAAATACAAATTCAGGTAATTCCGGTGGTCGAAACACAACAGATTTACTCACAAAGTCAATAGTTACATGATATTTCGTCGACTAATCCATACCCAATATGCGGTCAAAATGGTCAATACTTAAAGGCATAAGATCAATATACAACATCACATCACCAATCAGAATGTCACGTGCAGGATACACATAAGCACATATCATGGAACCCCCAGATGGTATAGATACAAATAACACATAGTTCATTTATTCAAGAGGTCTAGTCAATTTTCGGGAAAAAGCATGCAATACAAACGAATGTGTAGAACCAGAATCTATCAGCACATATGCGTTTGAAGCACAAATAAGAAGTATACCTGACACCACAGATTCGGTGTTTTGAACATCTCTCGGCACCAATGCAAAAACTCGACCTTGTCTCAAAGTCTCTTTTCCCATATTGGCCCTTGTATATTGATCTCAGTACTGAAGTAGATCCGATTGAACTTGTCGCAGGATAGTTAGTATTTTGATTCAAAAGTGGGCAATCTCTTACCATGTGACCAACTTGACCACACCGGAAATAGGCACATGTTGTTCAGTAACACACACCTTTATGTTTCTTTCTATATTCTGGGTAGTTAGGTGCAAAACTATTTCCCTGATTTGAGCTGCTCGTAGATCCCGTATTTTGTTTCTTTGAGAATGACCAACCCTTTCTAAAATTAAATCCAGACTGTTTGCCTCTCTATTCAATTGTTGGGGCTTTGGTTTGTTTCATGGCTGCTAAGTTAGCTTCAGTCATTAATGCTCTATTCAACACATCAACATATTTAGTCAGTTTTAGAACTCCTACTCGGTCAAACACGTCCAGATTAAGCCCTCCTTCAAATTTTTGAGCTTTCTTGTAGTCTGTGTCGACTATGTGAGGTGCGAATCAAGCTAACTCGATGAACTTAGCCTCATACTTTGCTACTGACATACCACCTTGATTTAACTGCTCAAATCTTAACACCTTTCGATCATGGAAGCATTGAGGGAAATACTTTTCGTAGAAAGATTCTTTAAATTGACTCCAAATCATGGACCCGTTATCATTTCAAATTAGTATCCACCAAAGATAAGCTTCTTCCTTCAGAGTATAAGTTGCCAACAATACTTTTCGAGTTTCTGAACAAGGAAACACTTCAAATAGTTTCTTAGTTTTTAACATCCACGTCTCAGCTTTCAACAGCTCAATGCCTCCCAGAAAAGTCGGTGGCTTTATCTTGTTGAACTTTTGAGTCAAACTAATGATATCATTGTTCATTGGCTCGATTTGTACCGGAGAAGGCAGAAGAGGCAGTTGTTGTCTTTGTTGTTGTCTTATTGATTCTGTTAAAACTTCTAACATTCTTTCCATTCGGTCCATTCAAGCATCAGAAGATTCTGTTACATTATCAATTCTTGTCATTTCCATATTCTATAAGTAAACAGAGCACTAATAAACATAGGTAAATAATCCTTACAATTTTCACAGTGTTCATGTTCATTTTATTTCTTGTTACACATGTTCATACGTTCATTTCAGTTCAGATATATTCATATGATTTCACACACAATCACACATGCAGATGTAATGTCCCTAATTCTTTTCTATAACATTTTGTAGCTCGTACGAACTCGTGAGTGTGGTATAACCCGTGCTCTTATACCACTCTATCACGACCCAAACCCGCTCCTATAGGTTTAGCATCGTAACCGACCAGTAATCCAAATATTATTGAAGGCCTCTGAAACATATTAACAAAATAAGGGGCTAGTGGAAGCCAAAACAACTATACAATGGCATTGAGCTATGCAGACTTATATGGGAAAAAAATTTTAAACTTATTCACATATATTATGACGTTATCCCATGTACAGATATAACAAAAAGGGACTTAGCCCTATATACAGAAAATAAACAAAAGTTTGTCTAGATTAACAGAAGTAAATAAAGCTTAAGACTTCATTTCAAAAACTCGACTACACTAATTTCACAGGTTCAAGCAACATTACCGACAAATATTCCTACAACAGATATATTTAAACACAAATAACACATGACACATGCAAGTAACTTAGGATTTCAGCTGAATTACTTAAGCATTCTTAATCTAGAATTATATGCTAATCATAGGTCAGGTTGTCACAAGATTATAAAACAAAATAAATTGGGTTATTTGTTTTCACCAAACAGAGGTTTAATTGAGGAATTTTGACTAAATTTCCTGCTAAAAAAATGATAAAACTGAATTTTGAACCAAAATTAGCTAAATGTTTGACAAAGTTATCTTACTGCTGAATGAAGAAAAAAGAAAGAGGTACGAGGACAAAGATCATCAAACTGCTAGAAAAAAAAGTTAGTCAAATTTAATAAATGACTGTGCCAAAATGACAAATTTCTATTGAAATAATGTAGTTAAAAAAAAAATTAGGATAAATTATTAATAGGTCATAATATTTAGATTTAATTCTCATTAAATTTTATTAAAAATAAATTTTGATAAAATTATCGTTAAAAATAAATTTTTTTTTTTTTTTGATAATTTTTTACATACTCACTTAAATAAATGATTGTGCCAAAATGACAAGCAAGCTCATTACGGTATAGCCACTGTTGATAGCGGAGAGGATAGGCCCTGGGTCTCTCTTTCTCTCTGCCTCTGCTACAAATCGCCAAACCTGGCTGTTCATGCTTGTTCATACCAGTTTGTTGAAGGGAGGAACATAAATAAATATATAATGATTAATTGTGTTGTGTTTGGAAACAATTATTACATCTCCTCCATCAGCTCCATTTCTACAATCACCAGTACTAGTTGTAGAAGGCGTAGTAGGTTGGGTCGTTTCAAGAGTCGAGCTTTCCTCAACAAACCCCCCTTGCCCTTGTTTCCGAAACAAGACGCCGATACATCATCAGTTGTTCTCGACAACAGTCTCAGGCTCCTCGAATGGGACAAGCTCTGCGACTCCGTCTCTTCCTTCGCCTCCACTTCCTTCGGCAAACAAGCCACTAAGGTCTCTCCCTCTCCCTCTCCCTCTCCCTCTCCCTCTGTTTATATCAACGTATATATGTGATTTGATTGTCAATTCTCTCTTTAATTGCTTCATTATGTTTCGGGACTATGAAGCATGTCATATCCATTTCGGAAACTTCTACTTCAAAGTTAATATATTGGAAACTTTATGAAATTCGAATTGTAGCATTTCTTGCATAGTATTATACTATAATTGCAAGGGTAAATACAATAGTAATATTTTTTTAATAATTTGCTTAATTGTTTGATAGGGAAAACCTATTGAGTTCAAATAATACCTAATTTCTTACAATACCTTCATAGAAAGTAAGGATTAGGAGGCTTATATGTGGACTATTATTTTTCATAAAATACTATTAAAAAAACGTCACTAATTGTTAATTTTCAGTGACAATTTGAAAATTTTGTCACAAAAAATATCATTAATTATAAGTTTTAGCTTAGAAAGGTTAGTAATTTTCAACTTTCAGTGACAGTTTGAAAAATTAGTCATAGAAAAACGTCACTAACGGTAAGTTTTAGCGACAAATTATAAAAAATGTGACAAAAAAAAAAGTCACTAATTGTTAATTTTTAACGATATGCAAAAATCACTACAAAAAATTATTTTTAGCGATGATTTACTAGGACTTATTTTTAATAGGATTTTATGAAAATTAAGTCTAACTATTAGGATTTATTGGTAATTTACCCTTAAATGTTTTTTAATCATAACTAAAAAATAATGACATATATAAAATCATATATCAATAATTAAACAAGAAATTAAACTTGCATACAACATTTTTGCATTTGAACACTTGTGCGTAAGGGAAAAGCACTGTGAGAAGTTGTGGATTGTTCTGTTATTGTAATATATACATATTAGACTTGATATTGAATTGAAATATTTTCAAGACATTGTAAATTTAGAAAGTAAATTAGTTATTTGCTTAAATTATAACTTAATTTCTAAATATAAGAATTTTGTATTAGAAATTTATAGTACTACCTCAACATTCTTGAACTTATGAGTAACTCACTATTAAAAATTTTAAAAATAAAATAAAATTGCTAATGTGTCCTAGTTGTACCTGTATCTTATTTTATTTTATTTTTTTTAATATTTGGTCGTACCGTATCTGTGTCTTGTATCTGTGTTTATGCTTCATAGGTTGGGGATGTTTTCAGGCACAACTATGGTATTTGAATCAGACCTACGAAGAGAGTATGAGACTCTTAGGCGAGACCAATGCGGTTGTTGAAATGCACAAGCATGGCGGTTGCGTCATGGACTTCAATGGCATTGATGTTGTCTTGGTGAGTGAATTTATTTACTAGTAAGTAGTGTAAAGGGGGAAAAACTAGCGTTTCAGCTTACTTCTAAAACCAAACCTTGGATAAGTAACACTTAGATTTACTTGGTTTTGCTTGTGGTGATTTGAAGGTCCCTAAAGACTCCTGCCCTTACCTCTACCTTCATATCCAGATTTTTTGATGTAATGGGTTAATAATTATCCAGACTTTTGCTTACATATTAACTAGTAGTATCCTGTGCATACACAGGACCTTATAATTTAAATCACAATTAAGAGTAAAAAATAACTAACAATAATTTTAAAATAACGGCAAATTTGTTATATAATGAGTCATAGTAGTAAATTTGTAATTAGTTTGTGAATACTTAGTAAATAGACTAATGTAATAGCAAATTTGTTACATATTGTTCATGAAATACTATAAAAATTCATTTAAGAGAAAGAAAATTAGTGTTAAAGCATAAGACCTTCAGACTCTCATACAGGAATTCCTAGATTTGTAGAATGTAACTTTCTTCGTGAGTTTTTTTCCCTATGTGCGAGAAGATCTAGAGTTTTCTTTGAAATATGTTTCTAGTATATAGTAGTACATGCATGAGAATGTGCCTAAACAAATGAGTGTCACTTGCTGCATACAGTATACACTATGTTATCATTTCCTTTTATGTATGATTGAGACAATTGTTTGTATAATACGTTCTGCATTATAGAGATCATAATAACTTCATCCATGTTCTTCGGTGTCATATTTTTTCACATAGCCAGTTTGAAGCCCATAAAAGGCAAGTAGGATTTGTTTGGCAGTTGAGAGGCAAAACATTTAATATGATGTTGATGAACTTTGATCCATTAAATTCTTGATGAGATGCTAGGAGGTTTCACATAAGAATCATCCATTTGCTATGAAAACTGAACAAGTGTCAGTAAGGCATTATTTGAAAACAATGACTCCTGCCACCCCTATGCAGTGAAAATTAAGTTCTGTCACGTTCCTTATATTGAGGTTAAAGAAGTTCATCCAGGAACTTGAATACAAAAACATCTTCATAATTAAGAATGGAATTGGTGGAGGCAACAACTGGAAAGGAATAAGTTGTAAGTTGTTTGTAAGAAATTGAGTAGCTAGGAGATAACATAGGAGATTGAAATTTTGAAATAGTCTTATTATGCCGGAGTGGGAAAATGTAATAATTGGATTAGCATAATGGTGTATTACAAATTATGGAATGAAGTTATAGTTGTTAGAAGAAAAAGGGATGAGATTGTTACTTGTATATTATGAAAACATATAGGTGATTAATGCAAACACATTCAAGACATTGAGCTACAACACTAGAGTCAAGAGATAATGTTGCTACAATATTGGTTTCAGACCTTTTGGTTTTGGTTACTTTAATAGTATTGTGGACAAAACAGAACAAGGTATATGATGTTGGATGCATTTGGAGACAGTGATGCTGGCAGAGACAATTGACATGACTAGACAAATAGGAGGAAAGTGTGATTATGTTTGTGAGAATTAGTAGTGCTAGTAAATGAGAGAAATTAGGTGTGATACATTAGTCATATACACCTATTCTAGTGATGAAATTGATGTTTTAGATTAGGTCTGTCTCTAGTCTTACCCCTACCAGCACCCTCCATTATTAGGGACTAACACTAGGTTAAGTTGAAGGTTTTGCTAAGAAGAGAAGACTATGAGGGAATCAGTTGAGGTACGAAGAAAAGACATACTGGCACTGGTTCATGATCTAAGCAACGTGTATACCTAGGAAAAAGGTTAGCCCTTATAAAAACATGATAAGTAGTTAATCCAATAGTTGTGAGAAAGGTTAGTAGTTGATCCTATAGGACAAAAGGCTTTGTTACATAGTAACAAATCAAATGCCTTTTCTATGTTGTACAACTTGGATACTTGTGAAAGGTACCATGAAGTACTTGCTTTTCATCTCATACAATGATTATTCATACTTTTATGCCAAGAGCATTGTCATTACGGATGGATTATTCACACTCTCACTCATTCAAAATTGATTAGGCTGACACCTCTGATATTTCACTCCTGTTTTCTCTATCATGGACATAATGTTGATATCTCCCTATACACATTATGAATGCTAGATAAGCATCTGGCTTATCATCTTTGAAGGTGAAATCTGCTATCCAACATGCTCAAAGGGGTTTGCCAGTCAATGGAAGTGAAGCAATGGCTATTGTAGCTTTGCTACAGTTTGCTGAAAATTTGCAGTTAAATCTAAAAGCTGCAATCAAAGAAGACACGGAGTGGTATCAGCGCTTCATGCCCCTTGCTGAAATGGTACATATTTCATCAACATTTTTCAGAATATCTATGTTCCTGTATGTTTGTATGGTTTGATAGCTTGCTTTTTGTAACTTTATTGGCAGATCATGGAATTGGTTGTAAGTCGATCATTAGTAAAGTTCGTACAGCAACTTATAGATGAAGATGGCTCTGTTAAAGACTCTGCAGTATGTTCTTCATTTCCTCATGTTGACAGTCTATTTTGTGGCTCTGTACATATTGATGCATCTAGTTATTTAGAATAAACTGAATCTTACGAAGTGTCACATTTTTTCCGTTTACCAGGGAATTTCTCCTTTCCCCCCACCCCCTGCCCTTTTTTTTTCCCTATGCATGGATCTCATCTTTTGTGATGTCAAATAAAGGTTTATCAATGCTTGTTTTATTACACCCTAAGAAGCATGGACACGGATAAGCAACACAACACGGACACGCCAACATGCCAATTTTAAAATACAGACACGACACGTGGGGACACACATGAAATATATAATTTTATATATTTATTATATATTATATATATAAATATATATCATTCAAAGATAATAAAAAATGCAATATGACACTAATTCTTATAAATTTATATGGTTTTTGTTTTACTATTGTATCTTTAGTTGTTTTGTTCGAACTTATGATTAGTTTCACTTGTGTCTAATCGATAAACACGTGTGTTTAAGTGATAGACACATGTGTCCTCTAAGTGTCCAAAGAGTGTTTGAGTCTCTAAAAAAAAATTAAAAAAATAGGACACATTTTGAAAAGTGTCGGACACGTATCGTGGAAGTGCCCAAATCTGTGTCTGACGGACACGACAAGGATATGCTACCTTCTTAGAAGTGTCTGTGCTTCTTAAATTACACCTGTTTATCGTTCTGTAAAGGAGGGAAATTGTTTACTCATAGAATGTGGTTTTATTTGACCTTGATTCGTATTTCATGTTGTTTATTTAGTTTTTTTCTGATTCTTTTCAGAGTTCTGCCTTGAAACGATTGCGTGATCAAGTGAGAATGCTTGAAAACAAGGTACTTCCTCCCCGCCTCCTAATTAATGTTATTGTTTGGAGAGTTACTTGGTCTTATGCAATTCATCAGGTCTTTCGTACCAATTCCTTTGTTGAGAGTTTTACCCAAGATTTGAATAATTAAAGGTTGTGTGTAATTCCATCAACCAAGAAATCTAAATTACCATCTTCCACATTAAACGCTGAAAGAATGAGTTTAGGGTTTAGGGATTATTCTCTGGATTATTCTCTCTTACCGAGATCATGTGCCAAGGGTGACCTCATAGATTGTTATCCATTGCATTAATCATTTGATCTATGCTTTCATTCCTTTTATGTTGTTGCTGTCTTACAAGTAATTTAAACTTCAATCATGTCGGCCTTTATTTATTTGATAGCTGAGAACAGTAAGTTATTGTTCAACTGTGAAATATTAGAGTTAGAACACATGAAGACATCATGGAAATGTTAGGGATATGCATTCTGTTTTCAGGAAATGGATATGAATCCTCAAAAACTTTTATGTATGTACTGTTTCTAACATCAGTCTGCAATGGTTCTGCAATATATGCATAATATAAGAAGTCAGGAATAGATAAAAAGAAGTACTGAAGGAAAGTTGGCAAAGTAGATATGTTTTATTTTCTTACTCTGTCAAGCATGGCTGTTGGGCATAAGTCCAAAGAAAGGCATTTTGACAAATTCAGACACTAGTTATTATCTCAAAAACATTACTTTTAGCAAGTATCCATGTAACAGAGATCGTAACTGACAAAACGAGAAAACATAGCAAAGGATTGAATGAAATCTCAAGTTTAGGTAAAGGCTAAGGAGTTTTTCAAAAAAAATGCAGGACACAACAAATGGGGAGACACGCATGAAATATATAATTTTATATATTTATTATGCCGTATATAAGAATATATCATTCAAAGATAATAAAAAAATTCAATATAAGTTTTATAAATTTACATTGTTTTTGTTTTATTATTGTATTCTAAGTTATTTAGTTTAAACTTACAATTAGTTTAATGCGTGTCTAATTAATGGACACGCGTTTTAAATTTTTTTTAAAAAAATAGGATACGTTTTGACGAGTGTTAGACGCATGTTGGAAAGTGTTCAATGAGTGTCGCTGTCCGACACGGATACACCACCTTCTTAGAAATGTTCGTGCTTCTTAGGGTACAAGCATAAAGCTTTGTTTTTAGCTTGACAATATATATTACTTATTGGCTTCTATTTTTCTGTTGGCATCTTGATTCAGTTATACCAGTTGATGGACAGCCTAATTAGGAACAAGATGAAAGAGACATCCACTGTAGTAAGATGTGCTTTATTTTTGGTGTATTTCATTCCCCCAATGTTTTTTTTTCCTTAATTATTAGTATTACTCTTTTAGTTAGCCGACCCCACTCGAGTGGGACACAAGGCTGAGTTTGGCTTGGAATTTATTTGTTCAGGAAGTGAGTAATGTTGATGGAAGAATGTGCTTAAGATTGGGAGCTGATTCACCTACAAGTTTTGAGGGCTTATTGTTGTCCAGGTGCATTATAGAACAACTCTTCATTGTCATTGACCGCTCAAGTACTCATTGGTCGATGTTTAACAATGCTAGAAATGCTTGATCATATATATATACTATTTCTTTTCGTTTCAGTTATAAGAAACTGCAACCTTAAGAAATATCAGTTACTTCACTGATGAGATAATCACATAGAATTAATAATCTTTGCTTCAATTTGTTGACTTGTTACCTATGGACAAGAAATATGTGTTCGTTTGAATTGCTTTGATTAACATAGAGGACAGGACAATCAAAGGACAACTGCAGTCAACTTTCTTTTCCAAAGTCATTTTTCAAACATGATTCCTGAAAGGTAATACTCTGTTGTAGTGGTTCAGGTGGTGGAAGCATTGTAGAGCCACTCTCTGCTGTTCCACTAAATGATGAATTGCAGCAAGCAAAGGCATCAGTAGCGAAGGCAGAGGCAGATGTGCTGTTAAAGATAACAGAGAAGGTTATGCTGGATTTATCCAAGTGCTTTTATGACTTTAAAATAGTTTACCATCCGTGTTTCATATATATATATATATATATATTTGTTTTTCTCTGTACAGATGCAAGGTGATCTTGGTGACATCGAAAATTTATTCAACAGCATGATTCAACTGGATGTGGTAGGTGTCTGTCACCAAGCTTACATTTTTGTAGGTTTCCGTTCTGATTGAAGACAAATTTCTTCTTTTATGGATTTCCAAAAGAATTTATATTGTAAATAAGCAAGCAATTCAGTTCAGAATTATTTCATTGTAGTCAAATTAATTTCTACTTGTCAAACGGCATAGGATAAAATACATGTATTTTATCTTTTGACTTGAGCAATGATGTAAATGTATAAACATATTCTACTGAAAATAGTTTACCATTGTAAATGTAAATGTAAATAGTTTACCATCACTACTGCTACTTTGAGAAAGATGCCCAAACAATTGTGCGTAGTGAGGCCTTCAGTCCTGACCTCTATTATCAAAATCTTATGATTCGCGATTCAGTTCACAATTCAATTTGCAATTTGTGCAAAATCGATATGAATCTATGGGGACTCTATTTTGGAAGTGAATCTATGATGAATCGCACGATTCGCAATCAATTCTTGATTTGATTTTTTAAGATTTATATAATTTTGAAACTATTATGTTGGGTATATTTCGATTTTTTTTTTCTTCCCCTTTAGTGAAAATGATATAATACAACTTCTGATAGTATTTAGTATAAAAATAACCAATATATATATATATATATATGATTTGTTGTTATTTTGGTGATCAAAGAGTTTTTAACAGGATCCAATCAGATTTAGTTATACCCAATATGTTTTTAATATTTTCTTCATATTTAAAAAAAAAATGATAATATATCTTTTAAAATGTTTAAGGTTAAAGTAATTTGCATCATGAATTATCTATTAGTATTTTATTAAGTAAATATAATTTAATTTTACATGGTTGAGGTTGGTTAAACCTAATGGTTCCACAAGTTTATTTTAAAAAATAAAAAAATAAAAAATAAACGTTTTGAACAATAAGCATAAATACCTTTTAAAGTGTTTTAAATTTTAAAATAAAAGATACTGATTAATTCATTTTTATTGAGTCATTGTTACTTGGAGAGGTATGTATGCTTATTGTCCAAATATCAACATCATTGTTAAGTTATTGTTACGTGAAAATTGAGAATTTGTTTTTGTTTACTTACTTTGTTAAGAATGGTTGATAAGAAATATCTAGAAAGGGAAAAAAGTAAGATAGTGATCTTACATGGGAACCCGTGGACTGTGTTAACTTCTTACCTATTAGACCACGTGATCATCACTTAAAACAACATTTTCATTTATTTATGTCCAAGTGTTTCATATTTATAAGATATATTTAACATATAAGTGTATAGATCTATGAAGTACGGGTGCAGGTACGGATACGGATGCGGGTACAATACGAGTATGCCGATACGGAAAATTCTTTAAAAAGTAGGGTATGGGTATGGCTGAGGTACGTCAATTTTTTTTAATTTTTTTTAATTTTTTTTTTAAATTTATAGCTAAACATCCAACATACAAATCAAAGTTTCAATATCAAAACTAAAAAGAATACAACTTGTCTAAAAAGTTAAAACATGATGCAAAAAAGAGCAAAACCATGACTCATGAGTAAAGGGTGTTGGAAATAAATTACTTGATATTTTCAAAATTGAAAGAAGAATAATGAAGGCTATAATAAATTCTAACAGCTGCAAAAAATAAATAAATAAATAAATAATCACCTCGCCGTACTGGTGCCATGCCCATGACTTACCCACGATGTATCCAAATGTATTTGCTGTACCCGGCATGTATTCAGCGTACCCGGTACGCGTACCGCCGTACCAGTACTGGTACCCGCACCCGGTAAGTACCCAATACTCGTACGGCACCATTTTTGGAGTACCCATGCTTCATAGGTGTAGATATATTTTTCTAAGCAACTAGAAAAAGTGATTGAATCTTTATGATTCACAATTCGATTTGTGATTTGGTACATGGCTATTTTGATTCACGATTTGAATCCCAATTTGACAACTATGGTCCTGACCCGTTGAAGTTTTTTTCTTGGGCCAATTCGGTTCATCTTTTGATTATATTCAATGTATTTTGTAGATGCTGTGTTATCTGATAGTTCTAGTTTGTGATTGTGTTTTAGTTCATGAATCTTTGTAGATTAATGCGAGAGCAACCTACAGTCTTTCATTTGGAGGCACATGTCCTGATCTATTTTTACCAGAGGCCAAAGATGGAGGTCTTGCCCTTGATGCCTTACTAGGGAATACAAATTTAACGCCATCATACCTAACTGAGAGGAAATGGACATTGTATCTTCCGAGAGCTTATCATCCTTTATTACTTCAACAGCATCGACAAAATCTGCGAAAGGCCATGAAAGATGTCAGTAATGCTACCGCTGTAAGTCATGCATGGTGATTGGGCGATAAGCTTGTCTTGAGTTCTTTCCACTTTTATCTATGATATCCACAAGTTTGTATAATTTAACAGGGAACTGAACTAAAAAATATGGCATTTGTGGTGTTCTTATTTTTTTTTGGGGTTTATTTTATTGTTTACCTGCGCACAAGTGTGGGAATCTATTACCTGTTGTCAGAGATTGGATTTTTGGTTAATATCTGGGATTACAATTCCTCCATTGAGTAATATTTTGGGTTCTAAGTTGTAGATTTGCTAATTACTTACAAATCATGAGCGTTTTGTATCACTCAGCGTCCACTGCCCGCAGGAAATTAGAAGGAGAAAGCTGCAAGGGGAAAATATGACCCAGAGAGAAGAAACAGACATAAATCTGTCAGCCTTGGAAATGCAGGTAACTGTTTTTGATGGATTAACTGTATGTCTTTCATCGTTTGTTGTTATGCATCTAATAATATAAAATACCTCATTCAATAAATTTCCTTCTGGATTTCAGGTTACTAAATTGAAACAAGCTCATCCTATTCCCGTTGATATTTTTGTTGCTCAGAAAACTAAAGTTCTAGTTATAACCGGTCCCAATACCGGAGGGAAAACCATTTATCTAAAGACAGTTGGGTTGGCTGCTGTGATGGCCAAATCAGGTTCACTTTGACATTTCATTCAATCCACTTTCTCTTGTAGCTGTATGCCTGCTTTATTTTATTAGTAGACATCACATTTAGATACAGTTTTTGTCTCTAGTAATTTTTTTTTTTTTTAATTTGGTTTTATTATTATTTCATTCTCAAAGAATGACATGTATAAAATAAATTGTGCTTTGTTTCTACAAATGTAAGCTAGGTAACAGTAGGACCTTTCAGGAATAAACTTTAGAACAAAAAGATGCCCAATTATACAAACATGCAAAGTTTTACTTGACTTTCTTGATACTTTCTCAATCCTCCTCACTAACCTTCCACTTTTACATCCACTCAGTAGCTCACAAATAACATAAATGAACCTAGTCAGTAAAGAGGGGATGAGTAGTCACCTAAACTGTTCATATCAGATGATGATTTATTATTCCTTTTATGACTATAATTTCTTTCTGATTGAAGTTCTTTTATTCTACCACACAACCTCAGTAAATTATTTTCTATCGCAGGTCTTCATGTATTAGCTTCTGAACCTGTGAAGATCCCTTGGTTTGATTCTGTATTTGCTGATATTGGTGATGAACAGTCCTTGTCACAATCTTTGTCTACCTTCTCCGGCCATTTGAAACAAATTAGCGTAAGTTGGAGTGTAATCTAAAATCTTAAAACTGATTTGCACAGCATAGTACAGCTATTGTAATCTTATTATTTTCTTTCGCCTGAATGAAAATATTTCATGATCCCAAAGGATAAGCATTGCAAGGCCAGTCATTTTGAGAATATTGTTCTTAGTAGAATAGCCCACTTGCTGCAAAATTGGCCTTTAAAATGTGCACCATTTCTATCAAATAATAAATATTGGCTTTTCACCATTAACATAGCATAGACACAGACATGCAACACAAACATAAGATGACATAGACATGGTGATATGGCAGATCCTAAAAAGGTAAGACACAGACATGGTAGAATCAACATTACCTTGATTTTCTGGAATCAGCGTAGCAATTGTGTGCCCAGCACTTGGAATAAAATAGTCTTTATTTTCTTAAACTTTATCTGGTAAATTTTTAGTTTATTACTATAGTTTCCATATAACACTTCGCAACACAAATTTTTTTTTTTTTTTTTAAAAAAATCGTTTTTGAGCAGTTTCACGTATAATGCTTCGCAGGAAATTCTGAAGCACTCAACAAGTCGATCGTTAGTGCTATTAGACGAAGTATGTATCAAAAAGTCTTTTCTGATTATTTTATGGTGTTTGGTGAAGTGCTACAAGTACTGTCTTTTGATGTGCTTGAATAACAATTGACTTAGAGCAACGTAATTATTTGATTACATGTTTACTACCTCCTTACTGGAAAAATGAAAAAAAAAAATTGTGGTAAAAAATTTATAGTATGCTTGGATGAATAGATGATGCATGTCATCTGTCTGTACTAGTTAGGTAGGTGCTGGGACAAATCCCCTTGAAGGAGCTGCACTGGGGATGTCACTACTGGAATCTTTTGCTGAATCTGGTCCTTTATTGACCATAGCCACAACACATCATGGCGAACTCAAAACCCTCAAATACAGGTAGTTAATAATTGAATTGAAGATGAGACAATTATATGAACTTCAGAGCTAAATGCTGCTTACTTTGAAACCTCAGTTTCATGTTTCTGAAAATATGAATTGACAGTAATGACGCATTTGAGAATGCTTGTATGGAGTTTGACGAAGTGAAATTAAAGCCAACTTATAGGATTCTCTGGGGGGTACCAGGTTTGTGCTGTACTCTTGGACTCACAAATAAATTTTTGGTGTTGTACTACTAGATGGTTGGAATGATCTTTGTAAACATCCAATGTTTTCATTTTTCTGCTGCAATTGATTACATGTGTGAACCTTCTAATTCTACAATTTGGGTTTTATGTAGCCCAAAGATTTGGATGCCTCATCCTTTGTCATCATTATATTGTTCTTTTTTTTTTTTTTTGTCCCCGCCTCCACCCGAGTAACTAGAAAATAAGAAGAAAAAAAAAGAAAAGAAAAGAAAAGGGGGAGCGCATGTGTGTGTGTGACCGAAATCAATGGCATGGTTGGCATGGTTTTGAAGCATGCCTTCATAAAGCTCCAAAAAAATAACGCTTGCTGTTTTAAAAGTGCACTTTTTACCCCCGACAAAAACTGTTTATCCTCTCTACTTGTGTTCCAGTGGTTGGTTGTTATGCTTAGGAGTATTTAAGCATTGTTTTGTCTAGCGCGTGTTCATGTTTTTTCTCATTCTTTGGGTATCTTATTGTTGTAGAATCAGTGCAAATGAATGACAAAAGTGATTGATTGTTTTTGCTGCAGGACGTTCAAATGCAATTAATATAGCTGAAAGGCTGGGACTACCCAACGTAATTTTGGATATTGCTCGTAAACTATATGGTGCGGCTAGTGCAGAGATTAATGAGGTAAGAATAAGATGTTATTTGCAAGATACTATACTTCAAGGTTTAAAACCTACTACAGGCATCGAAACTGGATTTATCTATGACTTCTAACCCTGCTATAGAGAATTTAAGCATTAGTTAAAGACTAGAACCTAAGAAGCATGGACACGGACACGTGACACGACACGAGTACGACACGGACACGCCGACACGTTAATTTTCAAAAAATGCAGGACACGACACGAGGAGGACACGCATGAAATATATAATTTTATATATTTATTATATGTTATATATATACGAATATATCATTCAAAGATAATAAAAAATGCAATATGACACTAATTCTTATAAATTTATATGGTTTTTATTTTATTATTGTGTCTTAAGTTATTTTGTTCAAACTTATAATTAGTTTTACGTATGTCTAATCGTTAGACACGTGTGTTTAAACGATTGACACGTGTGTCCTTCAAGTGTCCAAAGAGTGTCCAAGTCTTTAAACAATAGGACACGTTTTGAAGAGTGTCGGACACGTGTCCTGAGAGTGTCCAAAGAGTGTCGGTGTCCGACACGTACCCGACACGGATACGTCACCTTCCTAGAAGTGTTCGTGCTTCTTAGACTAGAACATGGAATACTCAGGAATAAATTTGACAGAAGCATTCAATGTGTTTGGTTTCAGTTTTCTGAATTCAGCTTTCTGAAAATTGAGTATTTTTGTTTTTTGTGTTTTTTTGTTTTTAGTAAATAGATTTAAAATTTTAAGCATTTTTTTTACTTTTTTAGATGCACCTTACTTAGATATATCTAAAAAGTAAAATATTTGTGAAAAAATATTTCAAAAAATTAATAAATACACAAAAATACAAAAAATATACTAAATTTTCATTTTTATTTTTTTTTTGGTTGTATTTTTGGTATTTAGTGAATTTTTTAAAGATTTTTTTTCACGAAAATTATACTTTTTTAAGTGTATTTATGTTAGGTGTGTCTAAAAATTAAAAAAATTGTTTAAAATATTAAAAAAATTTAGTAAAAACAAAAAAATACAGAAAACAAGAAAGTAGAATTTTCTTAAAAGTGTTTTTAGAAAATCCAAATCAAGCAAAGTGATTATTTTTACGGGGAAAAGACAATGTCCATGCCCAAGTTGATCCCCCTACTGATCTACTTTACATTTCTCACTTTAGAAAATTGACTAATGGTTAAATTAAAATATATGAAAACAGGTAGGGAAAAATTAGAAAGAAAAAAAAAAAGCAAAAACAAATATACACTCATATATGCTTTGAGCCCTCTCATTTTTATGTCCTAAATTTATGTTCATATGAATAATAAATAAGATATATTAAAATTATAATTTTTTGAATGTATCCCCATATCCTTGTTGTGTCCATATTCTAGTTTTTTGAAAATCAGTGTCATGTGTTGATGTCTGTCGTTCTTAGGTGTTAGTCACATGTGGTTATTGAACAATAGAAGCATAGGATTACATGGGGGTTTTGAATCCATTGTTTTCTTTGTGGTCTATTAGTTTTGTTATTTAATTGTTTTCTCTTATTTATTTAATATGTTACCTTTAAGCTTACTTATTAGTTTGTTTATTTGCAATGTTTTCGTTTTCGTGTGTGTTTGATTTTCTTTTTAATGATTGATTAGACAAGATGACCCCTGCTGCATTTGAGAAGCATTCTGGACGAGAAACAGCTAGGAAATGGAAGAATAATGTTTGGGTCATTCTTAGTGGGGAGAAGGTTCCTTTGTTTAAGACACCACAGCTTAAATATTACAATCAAGCATCCAAAGGTGCCAATGGATCTCACAGATCACATAATGGGCGAGTTTGTCATTCCGAGAGCAAGCTCGAGTGGGTGTTGCTGGGTTGCCTCCGAGAGAGAGAGGATTTGGGCAATGATGGGAAGGTATGTGTAGAAAATAAGTGGAATAGGTGGAGGTCCGGCGGACGGCTAAGGTGAGGCTGCCGCCCGCCGGTGAAGCAAAAAATATTAGGTTCTAAACCTGCTCTGATACCATGTAAAAATTGATGTATTATTGATTGATTTATATTGATTTAGGTTAGGTGGTGGTAGGTGAGGAGTAGGTGAGTGTAGTAGGTGAGTGTGTGGTAGGTGATGGTAAGTGTGTGGTAGGTGATGGTAAATTCTAACACAATGCTTTTATCAAATGTCACTTATGAAAGTTTTTTGATTGTATGGTTAATGCAGGTCATACTTGAAATGGAAAGGCTTAAGCAGAACATACATGATCGCGTTTCTGAAGCACAGAATTATCTCAAGTGAGAATTTTTTGCTCTACTAATCTGACTTCTTGCGACAATGATGTCTTCTACTTATAGTACTAGCTTTGATTACAAGGCACTCAACAGTTTCGTAGTAATGGTCCAATGTTTATGGCAGACATTTGGAAGGCTACTGTGAAGCGTTTTTCTAAATAATTTCTTTTGTTTAATTTTCTGATGGCTTCATAGTTCATACATACAAATAGTAGCAATGTGACATTTGCCCTCCTATGTTTGATTATTGAAGCCACTACTGGTGGAAGGATAGGACTTTCCATCTAAACCCTACCATGTTCCATGTATGGTATAATTTTGACAATCAATGGCCATAATTACACCCTTAATTGAAGAGGTGGTTTTCCAGAATCCAGATCTTTAATTGTGAATGCATAAAAACCTGTTAGAAAGTATCCACGCAATTATCTATACTCATATGACTGGCATTGAACTAAGGAAATCATGAGATGATAATGAGGAATGATGATTATTATGTTGATGATGAACACAAGTTGTCCATAAAATTTTCATACAAGTAAACATTTTTTTTAAGAAGCATAACTTGCTTGCTAACATAAGCTCAATCGTGGTTAATTATGATACTGATATTTTGAGAGGAGTGGATGTAAATCCACAAGCTCACAAGATGCTCTTTTTTGTTTCTGCAGGCTCTCAAGAGAGCTTCATGAAAATCTACTAACGACTAGAAGAAAGGTCATGGATCATAGCACTGATCAAAGATACATGAAGATGCGAGAAATTTCTGAGATGGCAGCAATGGCACGTTCTATACTTCAGAAGAAAGTGCGACAAATTCGATCTGCAACTCAACCTTTCCAGCCTAGTGTAGCAAACAACAACCAACTTAAATCCACAATTAACAGCCAGCATGCTGCAGCAGATAATAGTGATTCTAGTGAACCTTCTATAGCAACTAAGGCTGCATATTCCTCTGATAATGCCAGGCAATCACCACTAGGTATATTATTTTTAAAATATTTGTATGATTTCCCATAGTCGTTCATGCTGCTCCCAGTTGATGGGCCTGTTTGGTGCAGCTTCTTGCAAGCTGATAATCAAAATGTAAAAGCTAAAAGCACCCATTCACGTGCTTTTCAATAATTACTTTTTAACTTATCTAAGCTATTTCTGCCTCATATAAGCTCTAAGCAAAAGTTGCACCAAATAGACTAGTACATATTTTCAAAAGAAAAAAAGAAGCAGCTATAAACAGCCCCATAAGTTGTACCAAACAAGGCCGATAACTGGATAATTATATGAACACTACTCTTTGTATGGAATCCTGCCATCCTCATTTTGTTCCCATACTGATCGGGATGTTATTGAACTCCTGCTAAGTTGCCGTACTTTTTTTCCTATTCCTGTTGCAGAGAAGGAGGCTAAACTGCCCAATGTGGGTGATATGGTTCACATTTCTTCCCTTAACAAGGAAGCTACTGTCTTAAAAGTGGAGCCATCCAAAGAAGAAATACTAGTTCAAGCGGGTAAAATGAAGTTGAAGTTGAAACTGGTGGATGTGACAACTTGACTGGTAAGGAAGAATTCGTGTCCTCAATGATGCATATGCATTAGAGGACACTAGCCCCTATTATATCTGATTGCTGGATCCTCTACAGGGTCCCATCTTTATTCATGTTTTCACAATGAAGAGCGTTCTTGCTCTGTTTTGGCATCCAATACCATATACAAACTGTTTATAGGCATAAATTAGTTTTTCATAGTTATATTTAGTATTAGTATGTATTGTTATGAAATGGGTAAATAACCAATTTATGGACATTTGTTATTCTACCAATTAAATTCACGATCTTATCATTATGTAGTCGTATATCATGAATGCATGTACTTTTGTAATTTGAATGGGAATATATATATATATATGCACCTTGAAACCAAGCTGAACTTAAGGACATTCCCAACTTTAACATGCCAATAACTCTTCCCCTGTACCTTTGCTCACTCCTGTCATAAAATAGTCGTCATTCATTCATTTGCTGGCACTGAGATGTTAGGTAGACATTAAAGTTGATGTTATTAAACCATATTAACAAGTTCTCTCTCTCTCTCTCTCTCATGTGTGAGCCAGTACTTTGCACAGGAATATTCTTGCGATAGGATCACGTTCAGAGTTGTTATTAGAATACTGTAAGGAGACATACCGTGATATCAAAATCACAGGACAAAGGCACACAGATACTTGAAAGAGAATCATAAACTAATAGAAGAATGACTCTTTGGACTTTACCAGGCATATCCAGTTCTAGAGGGTAAGCAATGACCTCACTCGTGCATTCCATTTCATTGAAGGAGAATTCATGGTAGTAGGACCATAATTCCAATGATTTATTTTTATTTTTTTGAATCGTCAAGATAATAGAGGCTCTTGGTGTTCCTCGTCCTCCCACTCTAGGCAATCTGTATACTAACTTGATAACATACTAATCAATGATTGAAGTATTACAAATACATTGACCCCTTTTATCTGAGTTATATACGTAGATATCACCTGTCTTTCTGATGTTATGTGATTTCATGTTATCAAAAACTGATCATGTTTATAGAAAGCTCTACATCGGCAAAAGGTTGTGTAGATACTTGGTTCAAGGATCAAAAATTTGTTAGCTTGGAAATGGAAATATTTCCAAAACATTAGGGAAATGAGAAATAATATAAAAACTTTTGAAAATGTTAGAAAACAAAAATATTAGAACTGAGAATCTTTAAACAAATAGTTTAAAGGTTTAGTTAGTGAAGAGGTTTACCATTGTATTATATTTTTTTTTAGAAAAAGTGACTTAATCATGCTCTCTCTCTCTTTCTCTCCTGATATCTAGATGTTCTAATAAATTTGTCTTTTTATTCTCAAATTTTTCTTTTGAAAAAAAGGTGGAAATAGAAATAAGCATTGTTTTAAAAATTCTTAATAGGAGTTAAATTAACTCATTATTTCGGCATGTTTCATCGAGCTCGGTGGAGACATTGGAATTTTGGCATTCCACTGATGTTTAGGAGTTAAATTAACTCATTATTTCGGCATGTTTCATCGAGCTCGGTGGAGACATTGGAATTTTGGCATTCCACTGATGTTTAGTTTTGGTTTCCTAAGAAACAAAAATGTTTCGACCATTTTGATGGAAAAGCAATGGAAAAAAATGAAATTTTGTTCCTTGACTTGGCTTTATAAGAGAATCGATTGAAGCTTTTGTTGATATATATAATGAACTGTTTGAAACTTCAAAGTATGTTTTGTTATGCATGTCAATCTCATAGGCCTCTTCTGGTGTTCATGCAAGAAACTTATATATAAATATGCAGGTGCTGCACCCAAAACAAGAAAAAGGAAAAAGAAAAACAACAGAATGCAGGTGTATATTGTGGAAGTTCTTCAATTCTCTGGCTTTGAATGATTACAGCGAACTGGCTCAAAACCACGGGATGTTCATAACCATAGCTTTTGCAGACAATTTGGGTTCTTAGGTAGATGCAGAATCAACTGTGATACTCTCACTAAACTCTGCTATTTACAAGTCTGGAGGTAACATTATTTGGTAATACGCTGGGACATAGTTTTGCAACTGTGAATTTTTTATTTTCTTTATTTCTTCCCCAATTTGGGGTTAGTTCTGTGGTGTCAGTTTGACGAGGCACACAGAACATCCAATCCCAGATTGCTAGTTGGAAAAAACAAACCATCTGTATATTTATATATTTGTTTTAAATGATTGAAGGGTAGATATTAAGGGTTGTTTTGAGAGCTATCTGTTTTAAGCCTCGTTTGGCAACATGTCAATTTAGCCAAAAAGTCAAAAATTTACTAAAAAAGTCAAAAAGCTAACAACCCATACTAAAAAATCAAAGATTCTTTTTTGTACATCTTTTCGTAAAAAGTCAAAAAGTCATTCCAAACATACTAGTTTTTTTTAGCTCATATTTTAGTCAAATAGTCAAAAAGTTATTAAATTAGCTTCATATTTTAGCTAAATAGTCAAAAAATTACTAAATTAGCCTGTTCCCAAACGAGACCTTAGTTCACTTTTTAATTTTTTAAGAAAAAATATACAGAAATATAAATAGAAGAGTTGACTTTTTAATGGTGATTTTTTTTACTTTTTGACTATTAGTATGTTACCAAACATGCTTGGTCATGGATGACCTGTTGTTGAGGGTGGATACTCGGATGCAACTTCAGCCCTACAGACACTGAGGGACCAGCGGGGCTCAGAGGTGAACTAGGATGGACCGGCAAAGGGGTTCTATTCACACTCAAAAAATTATTAAGTATCCTTAATTTCTAAGTACACTCTGTTTAATTTTTTAAAAATTTATTTTCCTCTCAGTACACTATTATTTTTTCCAAATTATTTTTAAGGTAAATCCAAATAATAAATAATAAACAAACTAAAAAAATTAAATTCTTTCAAAAAAAAAATTCAATATAGAAAATAATTCTCAAATACAGAGGGGAAAAAAAAAATTTATATTATAAATTATCTACAAGAATGCTCATGGAAAAAGTAAAAACCAAACTTATAAATAAGAACAACTCCAATAATTGTTAATCTAATTACTGGATTTTTTAATTTTTGTCAAAAAAAAGATATAGAAAATAATTGATGGGGTTCTACAAAAATTGTGAAATCCCTTTATATGGATACTTTTCTCATTTTTGATGGGTTGTTTCAAAAAACTATTTTGATTATTACCTTCATTCATTATTTGATTTTGTTCAAACTTTCTTTTAGGATTTAAAGTTTCAAAATAATAAAAAAACAATGATGTTAATGTTGATGGTGAGTTTTGATAGAATGAATTGGAGTTTTGGAGGGAGGAAGAAGAAGAAGAAGAAATAACTTTGATCTCTTAAGAAAGAAGATACAGAAATTTGAATAGGAATAACTAATTAGTGTGTATTGTCCTTATTAGTAAATTCATATTATGGATAGGCCCTAGGGATGGTAACGGATTGGGACGGGGCTGCGGATTACACTCCCCGTCCCCAATCCTCAATGTTGAAAATTCTCTCGTCCTCGGCTCCGGCCTCGATCCCCGATAGGGAATTTATCATCGTCCCCACTCGCGCCCCCTAACGGGGATCGGGTTTCCCCGACCCCGAATATTCCCCGATCCAAAAAAAAAAAAAAACAAAAAAAAAACAAGACAAAGATCTTCTCCATAGATCGCATCACAAACATCCAGATCTGTCCAAATTATTTTTATCACCACAATCTCTCTCTCTCAAATAGTTCTTCACATTGTTTTGTTCACAGCATCTGTGCATGTGCTCTTCGTTATTTGTATATACATGTATATATATATATATATAGAGAGAGAGAGAGAGAGAGAGAGAGAGAAAGTTGCAAGGAGAGAGTCGATCAAGCTACTTCTTGCCTTAATCTTCCAAACCGAGATCGAGATCTGTAAACCCTAACTCTCTCCGGCAGAATGCATGGAATGATGGCGACGATGGACTGATCTGTGACAACTGAAGAGAGAGAGGAGTGTTCAGAGATCTTGAGATCATCAGAGATCTGGCACCGATGAATCTGAGATACATGATAGCACCGATCTGAGATAGATGGAGGCGCGGCGCCGAAGCAGACGTCGAAGATGAAGGCCGTGGCAAGAAGACGGTGATGAAACCCGTCGGTGGGTTATGAAGAAGTGAAACAATGATTACACCTGTGAGAGAGAATGAAACGGATATATGTAGAGAGAGAGAGAAAGAGAGATTTGAGATCTGTGATGTGAGAGAAGTGAAGTCAGTGTGTGTGTGAGGAAAAACACTAAACATATATATATACGGGGATGTTCGGGGATAATTCGAGGCGAGGCCGAGGCTGAGAGAACCTATCACCGTCCCCGGCCAGAAAATCGTCGGGGATCCATTTTTCAATACCAGCCCCGGCCCTATGGGGATAATTTTCGGGAAAAAAAAACCCGACTTATCGCGGCGGGACAGGGCGGGGCGGGTCCCTGTCTGGCTGAGTTCAAATTATCATTCCTAATAGGCCCAGGGTAAAAGAGCCCATAGTGACCTAACCCCAAGCTTAGGTTAGGAAACAGATTAAAAGCAATAGTAAGGCCATCTCCAACAGTTCATCAACCCTTGCATCAGATTTGAAATTTGGTAAAAAAGTCACTTTTTGGAGCTCCAATGATTTCAACAAATTGGTATCAAAATGAGAATGAAACAAAAAATTCATCAAAGTGAGAACAGGCTCTAGATTTCATTATTTTACTGTGCTTTACTGTTGGGGGAGACCAATCGGTCAACAAGCCGGATGTCCGACCGGTTGACCAACCGGTCGACCGGTTCCCTTTCAAATAGGTAGGTTCAAACAGGTCAAAAGGTTCAAATAGGTTTAAAAAAAATAAAATTAGCCTTATGTCGATCGGCCGGTAAACTCACCGGATGACCCTTCCCTTTGATGTACCGTTGGAACAACCCATATCAAATTGAGAAAATCAAAAAAAATTTACTCAAATTTGGTGAAAAAAGTAGTGAACGGTTGAAGATGCTCTAATGCTATAATGATTCTTCTACTACATTTTATTTGTCATCAGATATGACGTAGGCACTTTAGTTGAATATAATGTTAGAATGATCATCTTGTCATACTACATTTTATCCAGTAGCTAATGTGGCATACACACATTAGTTATATATTAATGACGATAATGGACTCTAACCGGCTAATATGTGCTACATCAAACGGTAGATAAAATATGATGAGATGAGAAGATCATTCTAGCATTATTTTAAAAGCTATCACAACCACGTGGTGCAACCGCATGTGGGTTGTAACTGATCTCATTAGTTAATGAGGCTTGACAAATAAAGGAAACCTTGAACCACAAGGAACTACCCTTACACTGTGTTTGGTTAGGGGATTTGAGGAGGAATTTGAAAAGGAAAAGGAAAAAGTTAGGTGAAATGTGAATAAAATATACCTACATTTCACCTAGTTTCACACACCTTTTTCATTTCCTTTTCCAAATCCCTCCTCAAATCTCTCAACCAAACACAGCATTAGGTAAGTGAGGGCCAGTATATATGGGATTTGTAACTAGCCCAAAAGGTAAGCCAATCTTTTAGGAAGTAGCTTTTTACCTAGCTTTTAGTTTTTTACCCATTTTAAGTTATCACCTCTCACATTTTTTACTCATAAAAACACAAAATAGACTAAAAAAGTCAAAAAGTCAATTTTCTACTAACTTCCTAAAATCCTTTGTTTTTGACAGACTCCGACGTCACATTAGAGCCTCTTGAGACTCATTTCCTTGTTCATTCGAAGTATTGGAAGCTCGGAGAAAGTTGACAAAATTTGGAATTTCACTTAAGCATGAAGTTGGTTTGGTTGGTTAGAATATGAACCTAATTTCTCTTCTGCATAGAGCATAACCAAAATCATAATAATTGAGCCTAACTTCTTTGAAGATGCTTATGTACTTGCTGCATAAAAGCATAAGTAACCTAACTCCACATCTCTATCAGCATAATTATCTCATATTCCCCAGTATTTGGAAATCATGTTCTGCCTCACTTTATCCATGGTATATTCGAGGCATGTCCTCAAAGTAAGAAATTATACAAAGAATGAATTAGGGACTTCTGTACCAAAATCTCTGGAAGAAGAAATGATGTTTATATTCTTGTACATTTCTAATAATATTATGAATGAAATTGATGAGAGATCAGAAGAACATTCCAAAATGCTATTATTGGTGCCAATGAGTTGCAAAAAATTGTTGGGTGACATGACTCTTTATGGAACATCTCTAATTATATTCTATTCTGTTGTATGAATCTTGTCACATATAAATATCTTAAAATAAAATAAATAGATCCACAACTATAGGGGGAAAAATCAAAGGTGGCCCTGGGGGCATCACTGTAGCAACACTATTATCTCATGCGCATGTACTTTGGCTCCAAAAAATTAAAAAATTAGTAATAAATAAGGGGTTGTTTGGGATGATCTAAATAAGTGCACTTTTTGACTTTTTATGAAATATGGGTTGGGTTTGGGTTGGGTTTGAAGTGATGTGTTAGAGATATGATGTGACTTAAATAAGATGATGTGACTTAAATAGGATAGTGACTTTTTGACTTTTTGTCTTTTTCAAGACATGCTAAACTTGGCCTAAATAGAGCTCGTTTCGCTGAAATTGGATATTGCATAGGTGTAGGATCTATCATAACTAAAAAAAGATGATTAGAATTATATATGGATATAGTGAATTTTACATGTAGATAAAGGTAGTTATTGTGTGAAAACACATGAGAAGTAAAAATAAAAATAATTTCAAAACATTAGTAAGACATGATAGAAAAAGAACGGTTAGTGAAAAATAAAAAAATAAAAAATAAAAAAAATAAAAAAAAAATCTTATGAAAAACAAAACCAATAATGCAACTATAAGACCTAGATATTAGAGCTAACTCAATGGAGCAAATAACCCTCGGTAGGCATCTCACAAGGGACTACTTGTCTACTTCTACGCGTTCCATATTATATTATTGTGGAGGAATACATATTGCTCTGTCCTTTATATACGACATTAATCACTTATAGATAATTCCATGTTGAGTAATTTCAAAAAAAAAGTGCATTTAAGTGTATAGATAATTTTTACAGATAAATATGAAATAAAATATGGATATCATACGTGCGTGTTGATTTCTAACCTCATAACTAAATATATCTCATCGTCAAGATCTAGGGAATTTAACTAAAGAGCAAACGAAAGCATAG